TTAAAAAATATAAAAGGAAATTATACTATTTATTATTAGATAAATATTTTAAGATTAATAATAACACTATTTTCTTCCCATCTCCATTTTCTTTCCTGTTCTCTTAGTTTGAGTAACTCTTTTATGTTACTGAAGTGAGAGATAACTGATATTAAAAAAATAAAATGGAATTGGCTGATATTAGAGAAGAATTTCTAAGTCAGTACTGGAAGTGTGCACATATAACCCAAGCCCAATTTCTGTAGTACAAAGTAGAATTTATATACCTATTCTATTTATCAAAAGGTCGCCAATTGGATTCTACCAGTCACTCCAAGGAAGACACACAGACTTAAAGCCTTGGGAACCTGATGAAGGCTCACCATAAATTAAAGATAAATGGATGGAAGTGAGTTCTTTTTGTACACATATTTGTAAACACACCTTCACCCACTAGGGAGTTCTGGTAGCCTACCCACAAGAAGCTGCACTGCAACCCTTAAGGCATATGGTTCGAGGAGAGAAGTAGCTTCGTGGGAAAAGGATGGGCAATCTCCTCCTTTGTGATTAACTGCCTCTGAAAACTGGCTGGAGGGCCAGCTATGGATTGGTTCTGATTCAATGGTACACAACAACTTCATTCACTTACTCACCTCTGTCAAGTCGGAATCAATTCACAGCTGACCCTCCTCCAGTGGGTTTTCAGAGGCTGAGCAGGAGTGGCACCCACTTCCTAAACAATGTGTCTCTGGCAACTCTATGAACTTTGATAAATGACGATAGTTATAGAAAGGCTTCAGGCCTTTTGTCCATGCTCGATTCGATGGCAATCAACAACAACATATGATACAGGAGAAAGAATATATCTTTCTCTCAAGGAGCTGACAGATTTGAATCACTTGTCCTTGGATTGGCAGCACAATTTACTACCCACGGGTCATCAGAGCTCCCCTCACCCCGTCCCCCCTTTCCCCTGGCAATGAGATGGACTGACACAAAGACAAAGACCACAATGATGGGTTCAAGTGTGTCAAAGATGACGAGGATGCCAAAGGATAGGGGAGGGTTCAGGTCTATTGTTCATAGGGTTGCTGAGTCATACTCGCTCAGCGGTAACTACATAACAACAACAACAACAACAACTTAAATTATATATTTAGAACTGCAGTGAGAGAGTAAATTTAGCATTTTGTTGTTAGAAAACAACTGAAATCCATCAGTATTTTAAACTTCAAGATCACTTATTTTGTAGTAAGTATAAATATTCTGTCCTAAGTATATTTCTAAACTGTCATACTGGCACTGCTAAGTTTACCACCAACTCTTAATTATGCTTTAACTCTGAAACCTACAGTAATACAACGTGTAAGTAACATTCTACTGAAAATTATACAAAAATGACTGGACCAGTGCATCAACAGAGGACTGCTAGATATGCAGGCTGAGTTTAGAAGAGTTACAATACTGATCTTAAAAATATTTATCACAGTCTCCTTCCTGACATCTACAAAATTGTTCTTCTTTTATTGCTGGGGCTGTGAAATGACATTAATCAACAAGCATTAAGTAAAATTGGGAAGTCATGCTGTAAAGACCATTCCAAAATGAAATAGAAATTATCTTTTTGTATCATGTGCTTTTTTATTGTTGTTGGTGTTGGTTTGTTTTTGAACAACTGATATTTACCTATTTGGAAGAGGACCTAGTTATCCCTTCCCTTACCTGAAAAATGCCTTCCTCTGTGGGTCTCAGTGAGTCCCACTCAGGAGAATCCAAGAATTGAAAGGGGAAAATGTAATGCAGAAATTCACCATCAACTGTCACTCTGATCCTAGAAAAACACAAAGAACATCACTTATGAGGGAAGGAGAAAGACAGCACATAATTTGGGAGGAAAATGGTATTTCAAATCTTGGATGACCTTTTTGCCTTTCAGATTTTTTTCTTGCCATTTAGACTTTTGAAGAGAAAATATTCAATTAATATATTACAAGAAATGACATAACTTCTTCTAAGATTCACGTACCAAACCTCTTCACACAATTTGGTTCTGGAAATACTAAGTGAAATCCATCAAGCTATATATTTGTCATATGTGCACATTTATACACACATACACACAATGCTTTAATTAAAAAGTATCAGATTTAAAATGAAATAGGACATTTAAGAACATAAAAATCTTTTACTATAAATACCTATATAAAGTATATATTTAATCCTTAGTTTAAGCATGAGAAGTCACATTATTTTTTTTTTCTTCTTCCAACATTTGTTTCCAACAAATATGTTTACGTTTTTATATATGCCTATAGTGCCCTCATTCTCTAGTAACAGAAAACGATGGCCGCGCCATAGGAGAAAGATGGACAATCTCCTCCCATGTGATTTACAATCTTGAAAGCCTGTTGGCTGGTCGCTATCACTTGGTTCTGAGTAGATAGTACACAACAAATGAAAAAAAAGAAAAATCTATGAAATTGTACTTTTCTCTGCTACTTAAGAGAATGTCCTCTCAAACATGCCATCTTATGTAGTCTAATACTTCTAGCTGACATCATCCTCTTCGTGACTTTCAGTGATTAGTTTGACATAGAGTATAGAGGTAGTAAATACAATCATACTTTAAGGTCAACTTCCTTTGATTTCTAAGAAGAAATAAGCTCTTGATCATTTCCTGCTTGAAGTAAAGAATATTTGAAATGACTCATATATGAAAGGCGTTCTTAATGCCACCCAGAACTGTGTTATACTGAGATGGAAAAATATTGTGAAAATAAATGGGAATTACTCTAAAGGGAAGAAATGCAATCGCTAAAGGTACGAACCTTCCTGAAACAAGCAGGGAGAGTTTATCAATGGACGTCTTCCCCTGCATGGCATAGCAGTGCTCCTTTTCCAACGTTACTACCTCTGAGCTCAGAGCAATGGTTCTGAAGACAGGTAAAGTGATCCCCAGGGGCTGGAAAAGGGAGTTGTACAGCACCTGGAATTCTCGGGCAAAGGTTATGCTGCGGACTTGATAGGCAATATGAACAAACTGCATGAAGCAGATGACAAAGAGTATAAAATTCCAGGAAAATATATCAGCTGCACAGACATCTACCCAAGCCCAGACAGCAAAGCAGAGAAAACCCAAGCCCAGCAAACTGAAAACGTAGAGGAGCCCAAAGAATCCACTTCCACCCATGAAGCCTACAACAAATAAAATACTGGCAAGATGATAAATTGCCCCTTCTGCCTCTTGGTTCCAGGCTGTGCAGACTGGGTGTTCTACTACGAGGTTCTTCCATAAACTTGAATTTCTTTCCATGGCTAAGCTCACTTTTCAGTTGGCTTTAGGTGCTATTAATTAAGTAGTTAAGTTCTTTGCTTCTTCATCATCAGAGTTTTACTCAGTTTTCACAAAACAAGAGAAATACCGAGCAATGGAGTTGCGATGATAATGGTTTTGTATACGTGGAGGTTGAAGAACCAAGACTCTGTGAAGATTCTTTAAGTTCATCTGGACTCTGGATGTAGATCTGTTTGGAAAATATTTGTGCTGTTTCCTGTGAAAGAGAAGGGGGGAAATGACATATAATAGTACAGACCACGGAGAGTTGTGCTACCTGACTTTTGAGTTACCCAGCAGCAGCTCTAGGGAACAAGATGGGCCCTCACTTCCCATGCGATTTACAGCCTTGGAAGCCCAATGAAGGGTCAGCTACAGGTTTAATTAAGCAACTTTGAGAATAAGCCAAACCCAAATGTACTACTATGAAATCTATTCTACCTCATAGTGACCATATAGGACAGAGTAGAACTGCTTCATGGGGTTCCTAATACTATATCTTTAAAAATACATAGCAATTAATTAGCTTTATTGAATTGCTAACACATATATGAACAACTTTCTGTTATCCTATAAAAGGAAGGCAAGGATAATGGAAATCTACCTTTCCAAAACTGCACTCTTTACAGAAGGAGATTAAGAAGGAGGATAGAGAAAGAGACTTAATAACTCAGTAACGCTATTTATGCATATTATCACCCTACTTTTTGTGAAGTTAGAACATTTCAAGTGCAAATGCTGTCAAGTGTCCATTCAATTTTTATTCCATGTCTATAGTGACAAGAAGCTACACTGCAATCCCAGAGGCACATGGTTCAAATCCACCAGCTGTTCTGTAGGAGAAAGATGGGTAATCTCCCGTGTGGTTAACTGCCTCTGAAAACCTGTTGGAGGACCAGCTATTGGTTGGTTCTGACTTGATGGCACACACCACCACCACCACCAATACTGGCGTAGTGTATAAAAAGCTGTGCTATCAACCCAAAGCTAGGCAGTTTCTATCTACCAGCTACACTTAGGGAGAAAGATGGGTTTTCTCCTCTTGTGCAATTTATCACCTCTGAAAATGCACTAGAGGGTTAGTTATAAGTCAGTTTTGACTTGACAGCAACAACAATAAATCAGTAAACATAGGAAACATATATATAATATAGAAATTTGTGTATATATATATCTATCTCAAGAGCAACGGTGTGTCTCTTGAGACTAAGGTGTGTCTGGTATAGGCCATGGTCTTTTCAATCACTTGTTATGTGTCAGAGAGCTGGACAATGACCAGGGAGGATAGAAAGGGAGAATTGATGCTTTTGAGCTTTGGTGTTGAAGAAGAGTGCTGAGGGTGCCATGGACTCCTAAGAAAACATGCAGATTCATCCTGGAGAGAGTTAACCTGGGTTGCTCCTTGGAGGCAAGGATTCTGAGGCTTTGTCTGACATACTTTGGTCATGCTGTAAGGAGAGACCAGTCCTTGGAGAAGGACATCATGCTTGGGAGGGTGGAGGGCAGGCGCAGGAGGGAAAAGCCCTCTGGGAGGTGGACTGATTTGGTGACTGGGGCAATTGGGATGAGTGTGTTGGAGACAATGCGATTGGCACAGGACAGAGCAGAGTTTAGAGCTGTTGTAGATAAGGTTGCTATGAGTAGGAAGTGACTCAACGGCACATAACAACAACTATATATATATTTAGGAATTTATATTTTAACATTTTAACAATACATAGCCCCTCTCTCTCATTGCCACTGAGTAGAAACCAACTCCTAGCTGATCTCCCTGGATTTCTGAGGCTCTAAATAGCGTGAGAGGAGACTATCCATCTTTCTAGTAAGTATGAACTACTACAGAGGATGCAGGCTTTGGGGCAGCAGTTCGACTCCTTACAGACTTACACCAAGAGTAAGGACACAGTGTGTGCTGTGGAGTTAAAACCAATGCATAGCTGACCCTCCAGTGGGTTTACAGAGGGAGTAAATCATACACTGTTGTTGTTATGTGCCGTCAAGTCATTTACGACTCATAGCGACCCTATGTACAACAGCCCTAAACCCTGCTCTATCCTGTGCCAATCGCACTGCCTCTGACACATCCATCCCGATTACCCCAGTCACTGAATCAATCCACCTCATAGAGGGTCTTCCCCTCCTGCGCTGTCCCTCCACACTCCCAAGCATGATGTCCCTCTCCAAGGACCTGTCTCTCCTTACAACATGTCCAAAGTATGTCAGACGAAGCCCCAGAATCCTTGTCTCCAAGGAGTAGCCTGGTTTAACCCTTTAGGATGTATCTGTTTGTTTTCTTGGCAGTCCATGGTACATTCAATACTCTTCTCCAGCACCACAGCTCAAAGGCGTCAATTCTCCTTCTATCCTCCCTAGTCATTGTCCAATTCTCTGATGCATAACAAGTGAGTGCAAAAACCATGGCTTGAATCAGGCAGACCTTAGTCTCCAGAGAGACACCGTTGCTCTTGAGTACTTTAGAGAGGTCCCTAAGCGCAGACTTCCCCATCGCAATACGTTTTTTGATTTCCTGGCTGCTGGTGCCAAGAGTGTTGACCGTGGAGCTGAGAAAAAATATCATACACTAGGCTGTGAAAATGTACAATGAATTAAATTGATTTTAAAAAATGTAAATTCATACATATACAAAGAAAGTAAATGTAAATTGAGCTCGAGTCCCCAGTCAGTAGGGAGTTGTGTTGTCAACCCAAAGGCAGGCAGTTGGAATTTACCAGCTGCTCTGAAGGAGAAAAATGGGCAATCTCCTCTTGTGTGATTACTGCCCCTGGAAACCTGCTGGAGGGTCAGCTATGGGTTGAGTCCAATTTGATTGCCATAAGAGAGAGAGTTATTGCACTTAAGGTTATTTCAGGTTAAAGGTTGCATCCATATAACTGGTTAAATAATATTAATATCCCTGCTACTTACACATTAATTTACCAGATGGTAAAAAAAAGTTACCACTCTGTTCTTCTACACATATACTTTCTAGCCTTTCAGCCATATGGTAAAAATGCTAATATGTAATCTTAGTCAGGAGAGAACGAACCATGATGACAAGAGCTGCAGAATATATATCATTTACCACCAGGTTTCTTAAAAACAAATTGTTTCAGAGTGAAGTAATCATTATGTTGATGTTTTTAAACCATAATAACATGAAACCTTGAAATTTCATGCTACATTTAGTGATTTTTTTTAAAAAAAGATCATTGCCAGGACACCTGATAATCAACTGTCATGTATCACAGATCTTTTCCACAAAGAAAAAAAATACATATACAGAGACAAAAGACTTTGTTGGAATATGCAAGTCAACAGTGTAAGTACCAATGGAAGTAAAAATGGGAACAAGGAGTTGCTGCTGTGGCTGAAGTTTCTAACTTTTCATTTTGGACTGTGATTCCCAGTCCAGCAAGTCAGGACTCAAAAGAGCTTTGCTGGTGAACTCATTAAAACAGAGAGGAAAACACACACTCAGAAACCAATACAATCCCGTGACCTCCAGCTACGGCTGCATTGTTATTTTTACTTGTTTTCAGACACATTTGAACACTTCTGTACGCCCTTAATTCATTCCCCCCAAACCATTCTGTGATTCTGGGACATTACTCAATTGAACATGTTCATTTCTTCTCTTTTCGAAAAAAATATAAAATCCTATACAACCAGGTATTCACATCAAAGGGAGACATAAATTATAATGAGAAGGGAGACGTGTGAACCACCAGAAGGCAGACGTCAGTCTCTTTAGCTTCACTTCTCACACGAAGTTAATCAATTCCTCAGGATACCAAGTAGAGCCACTAAAGCCAATCTTAAAAAGCACTTGTAGTAGAGCTCTGAATCTTAGCTTAAATGTCTTAAAAGATGTATAAACCCCCCAAAAAATGTCAAAATTCTGTACTAGGAAAAGGCCATGTGAAATATTTGTGGTTATTCAGGAGGTACCTTCTGGGAGTTTACAACCAAACACAGCCCACTGCCATCAAGTCAGCTGTGACTGTACACAACCCTTCATCGGGTTTCTGAGGCTCTGGTGGCCTCGTGATGAGGAGCTGCACTGCCAACCCAAAGGCACATTGTTCTGGTACACCATCTGCTCCACAGCAGAAAGGTGGACAATCTCCTTCCATGGGGTTTACTGCTTCTGAAAACCCTCTGGAACGTAAGATACAAGTCAGTTCCAATTTAAGTGCACATAACAACAACAACAACAACAACAACAATAAATCTTTAAGGGAGGAGACTGCCCATTTTTCTCCCATGGAATGATTGGTGGATTTGAACAGCTGATCTCTATTTGCAACACAACAGGTAACACATTGCCGTGATATTTTGGGTTCCTTCAATGAAATGCATTGACACAATGACTAACAATGGGTTCAAGTATATCAGAGATATTGACTCGACAGAACTGAACAACAACAGCAGCAACATGTCCGCAACATAATTCTAATAAGAGAATTATGTCCCATTCAAGAATATTTCAATATCCTGCTACCACACTATCTTTGATACTGTATTACTCAACACAGGACATTCACTGACCCTGATTAAATTACCCTACATCAAGCCTTTCTGCACTTGGTGTGTTTTTATTCAGTCACTAAAACAGATGTACTTTATTAGAAGAGGAAGAACTGACAGGGGCAGGTGACAAGCATGAGTGTTCCTCTGCTATGTGCCAGCAGCACTATAGGAATGTGGAGCGTGATTCATCAACCAACTGGCTGCCTTTCATGCCTGCAGGCCCCAGTCCTGTTTGGGGTAAGTAGCTGCTCAAATGCCAAAAGGCAGGATGGATAACTCCCTTCAACTACACAGTTGGTTTTCCCTGCAAAACGAGTTAGCACGCGGAACTACAAATGATGGAGTCAAAAGGAACTGAAAACAAATAGTTCTCGACTCCCATACTGTCTGCCTTTAAGTCATAATATCTGTGTTGTAAAGGAATAAGGGAAAGTAAAAGAAAAGGATGTACAATGAAATGTGATATAAATGTAGTGGTAAATGGTGGCGGGCAGGGGGAGATTAACTCAGAAATTTCAACTGTTTGGAACACTTGTGATCTCACTGCTACAGAGGAAATGGAAACTAGTGTCCGCAGTGTCCAAATGGGATGAGCAGGACATAGACTGGGAGCTGCTTGTTTTGGGCTGAGGTGGCAGTGAGCCCAGAGGTGGTCGGGGAACTGGGTCCTCGTGGGCCCTGCTGCAC